TCTAAGGCCTTCTATACGGCCTGGCCTGGCCTGGCTGACGCAAGGCTGAGAGAACCCTTCAACTGCGCATTTAGGGTCTCTGCTGGTGGAGCGGGAGGACAGCTGGGGGTGGCTGGTTTCCTGGCTCCTACCTGAAAGGATGTATTTTCAGAAAGGGAGAAAGGGCTGGCGCGTTCCGCTCTAGAATTCCTGGTTTGATATAATGAGTCTGCGGAACAGATAAGTGACAGCCTGTTGTTGACCTCATTTTTCTGTATGAATAATTTAGGCAACAGTGATTTGCATAAGAACATGCATTAAAATAGTGGCGAGAGCAAAGAGCTGAACAGGTGCCTTTTGTCCCTGAGCTCTGAGGTGAAAAGAGCACCTTCAGGTGGCAGAGGTGTCGACACCAGGTGCGACCCCGGTTCGGTCTGCACAGGGATTCGAAGAGATGCTTTGGGGTTTCACTAACAACACAACCAGACTTTATCTTTAAATCATATATTAAAACTTAAGGTTGAATATATATGCTGCTATAAACAGGGAGAGGCTAGCCTGGCCGTCTGACAAGTCTCCTTCAGTGGGGCGGCTGTCACCGGCAGCACACTAGCCACAGTCGCCTTCCAGTAGGTCTCCCTCGCTTCACTCTTACTCTTTGTAGTTGGGTTTCCAACCCGGCAGCCTGAGCCCTCTTTCCAAAAAGAAATCTGGTCATCCCACTTGAGTGCCACTTGAGTGCTTTTTAGAACCCTCAAGAGTCCTCCTAGAAGATCCAGAAGAAAACCCAGACGTGAGCCGGAGAGGTCTGTGTGGTTCTCCCTCACGTGGGTGCGGCCCCTCCTCTCTGGCCCAGTTCTCCCATCAGGCAGGCCCCAGGGCCTTTGCACTGCTGAGTTCTCAGCCCCTCATGCTTTCCCTCAGACTGATCAGGGCTCCTTGACTCTCACGCTCTCGGAGCATCTTCCCTATGTAAACTCACCCCCTCCCTCCATCACTGTGTGTGTGCTTTACTTTCCTGCCTAGCAATTTGTTTCATAAATAAAAGGCTGTTTTATATTTGCTTTTCCGTTGGTCTGTGTACTCCCCTGCCTACACGGCAAGATGACAAGACACAAATACCTGGGCCCCAATGAAGCACCAAGACCCGGGAGGTGACTCCCAGGAACGGAAGAGAAGACAATGGCCAGTCAGAGTAGACAGGCCAGCGAGTCAGAATCCACAAGGAGACAGTTGCCCTTGGAGATGAGCTGGGTCAGACAGGCCTACGGACAGCCACAGAACAGCCCACCCCGCCGCTAAGGCGAGGGGGCTTTTCTCAAGTGCACACGAAACACCAAGAATAAAACGGCTCTGGGGTCAGGACTTGATGGGTCCCCAGCACCTTCTGGCCCTCGCTGATGACTCAGGCATGAGTGAATGCATCAGATGTTCTTGGCCCACGAAAAGTAAGCAAAAATATAGAAATAAGTTGGGGGACGAGGCTGACTACAAAGTTTGGGCTCACAGGGGCCACATCCGGTCAGTGGCTGAGCGCCAGACCTAGTCAGTGGACTGGGCGGGGCCCAGGTGCAGTGGGAGAAACTTCCCTGGAGCGGAGACCTTCACGGCCAGCCCACACGAACTCACCCTTTTCTTCTGCCAGGCACGTTGCTTTCCTGAGAGGCCACCGTGTGGGAAGGAAAAGCAGCTCTGTGCCGACCACTGTCTGGAACCTTGGAGACGGTGAAATTGTCTGATTCTCTCGTGAGTAGGCCCCTGACTCTGCTGTAGATTTCCCACACCGGCGGGCATGTGTTAGGCTGGCACCTGTTCTGGAAGGTGGTCAGTGCCTTGCCCTACAGAGCTGAGGATGCCTGAGGATGCCCGCTGTGCCAGCTGGGAGGGGCCCTGTGTGACAGGAGGCATGGGGAGGTCCTTTCGAGCGCCCTGTCTCATGGGGTTGCTGCGAGGTGAGATGAGTCCACGGTCTTGACCAGGAAACACTGCAGGGCCCTTGGCCGTTTCCCAAGGAGCAGTGGGCGGGACAGGACACTGACTGGAACAAGGAGATGGCGGCGACCTGGGAGGCTTCGGTCACGTCCTGCCCTGGCTGTCTGCAGGAGAGTTAGCACTCAGGGCTGCAGGGTCCACTTCTAGCCAGAGAGAGGCCAGGGCCCTGGCCTCCACGCAGCGTGTCCCACCCAGTCCTCCATCGCTGAGCTCCTCAGGCTCCCACAGGCCCTGCTGAGAGCAGCTCCCTGGCTCGGAACCAGAGGTGTCTGCCTTTGCCGTTTGCTGCCTTTGGCCCCGGCTGTTTGCAAAGAAAGAACGACAGAGAGGGGTCGGGGCTGGGGTCGGGGATCGGGGTTTGTGGCCCGAGGAGAGGCCTTGCTTCAGGACGAGCAGCGCCTGGGCCAGGCACTGGGCAGCTCCGCGGCTGACCAAGTGGCGTTCTCCCTGCAGGGCGCCCGGGAGGCAGGGCCAGGATGTTCCGGAAGGGCAAGAAGCGGCACAGCAGCAGCAGCTCCCAGAGCAGCGAGATCAGCACCAAGAGCAAGGTGGGGAGGCGGGGCCGGCTGGGGGGCTCCTGCGCTGCCTCCGACCCTGCCCCGAGTCTGACGGTCACTGCGGGCAGGACGCCCCGTGCGCGGACAGCTCTGCTCTGTAGCAGCCGATTTTCTGAAGGTTGTGAGTCCACTGACCTAGAATGAGGTCACAGGAAACAGCTGAGGCTGGCCACCTGCAGCTGGTCCAGGCTCTTGAATTCTGTGCTCTGTTTGCTTAACAGTGAGCGTACTGCCCCCGTGCAGCGCCATGATGAGCACCCTGGGGAAGCAGAGCGGAGGGTGTGCCTCGGAAGGGGCCCCGCAGCTGGGTGGGTGTGGCTGTGGGGTGGTGCAGCGGTGTCGCAGCACTGTGAGGCTGCCCGGAGCCGCGGCAGCACGCGTCCACCTGGCCAGGGAAGGACCCCAGGGCGCAGACCCCTCCTGGCTCTCCACTGCCCCCTCAGCAGTATAATTTGGTCAGTTTGCTGTTCTGCTCCCAAATCTGTCTCAGGTGGGTCCTCTCGTCCCTGCACCTCTGGCCTGCACCCCAGTTCTTGAATGCATAAATAAATCTTAAAAAATAAGACGTGTCTGCTCAGTGCCAGGATTCAGCAAGCAAGAGGGGAGCCAGGGCACGATGTTGGGGCCCCCCCCCGGGCTTTGTAGTCAGCCTCACCAGGCGCCCAGGCAGCGCCTGTGTAACAGTGGCCGCGCCTCGGCAGACCACGAGGATGCTCAGGAGACTCGGTGGGAACACCCGACACGAGCACTCGCCGTCTTCTCCCTGTGGGCTGGAGCTGTGGAGGCGCAGCGGCCCTGCGAGTCTGGCCCAAGGGCCGGAGCCCCGCAGGATTCCCCGGCAGGCTGCCACTTCGGGCGGCGCCCTCTCTCGCTGCGCGTTTTGAACGTGGGGAGCAGACAGGTTTCTGCTTCCTGCTCTCCCGTCCTCGGGGGCACTCGGGTGTTCTCCTCTGTGCGTGCGCGGTGGGGAGTCTGACGCACAGAAGCCTATCATACCCGTTCGGCCCAGAATCAGCCGGAGGCTGCAGCTGCACCCTGGGTCCCTGCCCGCAGCCTCAGTGCGGGTCGGTCCTGCTTCTGCCCCTCCTCAGGGCACGGAGAGCTCTCTGCACTCGGCTCTTCCTCCAGATCTTATTCAACGAAGCACAGCTCTGGAAGAAGGGAAGGAGCACTTGCTCACTTTTGCATTCGCCTCGATCCCCTTCTGACGGGCTTCAAACACGTGGATGCACTTTGAAAACTTAATTTGGATGCGAGGGGCAAAAAATGGGACTGATCCTGTTTTCACAGACGTTACTTCCGGTGTGGGATGAAGCACAGGGCGGGACTCTAGAATAAGCCACACCAGCGCGTGGGCTGACTGCTGCGCTGTTTGGTGGTTTTTCTTGTACATGTCGCCGTGGTGCCCTGGCCTCTGCGCGCCCGAGGCTCACCAGGGACACTGCAGGCCAGCGCCCTGGCGGGGATTCGGGGAGCTGGACGGGAGGAGCTAGGCCCTGGCCAGATGAAGCCTCTTCAGGCCCTGCCCACTAAATAAACAGGCGAAGACTCCGGGCAGCTTTCTGCACGGGGTGCTTTTGGGGGCTCGTGCAGATTTCCAGACGCTCCAAATGTCAGGTCCTTCAGAAGGAAACACTGGCAGCTTCTTGTGGGCTGGGGGTGTGGACACCCCACGGCTCTGTTGTGGAAGGAGTGTCGGTGCTACGTCTTTCGGAAGGTCGCCAAGAATGTGTCTTCCAGAAAACGCCTGCCGTTGGCGTGGGCTCGCACGTGTCCGCTGGGCTGGGCAAGGGGCCGCCGGTGTGGGCGGGCGCTCAGGAGGCCGCTCACGTTCTCGCCCGTTATCTCGCAGTCCGTGGACTCCAGCCTCGGGGGCCTCTCCCGCTCCAGCACCGTGGCCAGCCTGGACACAGACTCCACCAGGAGCTCAGGTGCGAGCCCGGCCGCCTGCCTGCCCACCTCTCGGGCGGCACGCGACCGTCCTGGACTCCACAGCCCCTGGACGAGACTTACAAACGTGGCCCCAGGCCGGTGCAGCGTGGGCTGGGGGTGCAGGGTGGCTGGTGGGCGCCACTGCCAGGGATGGCCCCGGCACAGGGCAGATACTGGCCGAGAGCAGCGCCGGGCACGGAGGCCTTGGCGCGCTGTGGATGGGTGGCAGCGGGGGAATCTGGCTGGGCCCTGTCACTTGCGGGGTGTGGGGAGGAGTCAGAGCTGTGCGGGCAGAGGTGCACCGGCCTGTGAACACTAGCCCGGCGCCTTGGGAGCCCCAGGGGCTGCCACCCGCCTGCTCATTTGAGTGGAATCATGCTGAAAGCTTCCACTTCCCCTCAGGGTCAGATTCTAGAAGAGGTGGTGTGGGGAGCGGGCAGAGAACCAGAGCTGCGTGCGAGCATCTTCCAGGCGCCTTTACCCCAGGAAGATAGGGGCCGCTTGTTACCCGAGCATCACCCACAGGAATCGGGGTCCCTGGGGGGAGACGGTCCAAACCTGGGGGCTTGGTGTGGCCCTGGCCGCCTCGGCTGCGGCCTCCACGCACACCTGGCTGGAGTTACGCCCCACCTCACCCAGGCCTCCCGACTGGCCGAATCAGGAAAAAAAGTTAGAGGTTTACAGGGTAAGGAGGGAGAAGAAACCAAGAGTTGTCACTGGGGAGTATAGAGGGACTCGGGCATTTCTAGTTGACATTTTGTTATTTCTGTTTCTCTGAAATAAGGGCCATCCACACCTGATTTGGTCCTGCTGAGACTTAGCCCCTTGTATACTGTGAGTCACCGAGGGCAGGTGTGAAATCTTAAGGCCTTTCTCTCGCAGCAAAACATTATACTTTAAAGCTTTTTCTTTGTTTTTCTTACAGGTTAAGTTCTGATGACAGAGTCTGTTTTTTAGCTAGTTGTTTCGAAGTCTCACTATTATATATTCTTCTTTTACTTTTAGGACAAAGCAACAATAATTCTGATACCTGTGCGGAATTTCGAATAAAATACGTCGGTGCCATTGAGAAACTAAAGCTTTCTGAGGGAGAGAGTCTGGAAGGGCCACTAGACCTGATAAACTATATAGATGTTGCCCAGGTAAAACTAAAAACAGCAACCTCCATCCTAAGATTCTGGAGCATAAACTCGCGGCCTGGGGCTGTCTGCTGCCTTCGCCCGGGGCTGCGCCGGAGCCTGTTCGCAGGTGCACTGTGGCTGTGGGGTCCCCAGGGCCTTGGTGACTGAGCAGGAACGGGACAGCAGTCTTCCTGGACCACGACAGGCACCGAAGGCCGAGACCAGTGTGAAGTTTAATGCTCAGGGCCTGGCCGGTGCCGCCCCGAGTCTTCAGAGCCCCTCGGGGCCTGCAGCCACCCACGATCCCTGTGCCCTTAGTGGAGGCTCCTGCAAGCTTTCTTGTACCCACATAAAGCCCCAGCCTGGCCCACTTCCGTCAGTTTTCCTCTCCTGATCCGTCCTGGCCCTCATGGCAGACGCCCTCACTGCCCCTCACTCACGGGCGTGTCCCTTTGGTTAATGACCCCCCCAGTGCCCTATGGGTTTGTGTTTGGCTTCCCGGGCCTGTCGTGCTCTGGGGCTCCCCTTCCTCTGGTCTCCCCGCCTCGCTGGCCCCTGCCCCTCTTTGCTGTCTGCTGATACTCTCTTGCCCTCCCGTGCCCAGGCTTCCTCAGCCCCGGCCCCCCGGTACCTCATTCCCATCCCCCTGGCCCCCAGGCTCTCTGTAGTCTTGGGCATCTTGGGCATGTTGTTCTCTGTTGTGATTTCTCCTCCTCCCTGTCCTGAGGGGAGGCGGGCAGGCGTCTCCAGCACAGAGCTGAGGGGGACACAGAAGCTGGGGCTACTGCCTCAGCAGGCCTCGGGGTCCCCAGCGGCAAGAGGGGTCCCCGGTGGTGCCGGCCTCCCCAGCCAGCCGTCCTTCCCCAGGTGCCGCCCACTGGCCGAGCTGTGGGGAGCTGTGCAGGGCTGCCTCTTCTGGGCATTTCATGGCTCATGTGCCCCGCGCGCCAGGAATTTAAGTGACTCTTCCTCACCTAAGTGTTCCAACCTGAGACTTGTGGGTTACGTGGAGGAGAGCAGAGGACAGGCGGGGCAGGCATAGAGTGGACCTGCCTTTGGCTCAGCTTTGTGACCTGAAGAGGAAGGGGCGGCGTCGGTGGCCTGAGACAAGCTCCGCGAGGCTGCTGTGCACCCCCGAGGCCGGGCCGGTGGCGGCTGGCGCTGCACGGCAGGTGGGCCTGCAGGAGACCGCCAGGCTCAGTGCCTGTCACGTGGTGTGTTTCTCCTTTAAAGCAAGATGGAAAGCTGCCTTTCGTGCCGCTGGAGGAAGAATTTATCATGGGCGTTTCCAAGTATGGCATAAAAGTGTCCACATCAGATCAGTACGTAAGTGACTCCCTGACGGGGAGGACGTGCAGGGTGGGGCCTCAGGCCAGCCCGGCCCAGGCTGGCCTGGAGAGTGGCGAACTGCCCGGGGCTTCCTTTTCCCCCTTGGCTGTGTGAACCTCCGTCACTGGGCCCTAAGTCACTTCCACTTGGGACCCCCCTCTGGGACGGCAGGGCCCGGCTGGGGCAGGGGTCCCTGCGGGGCTCCCTGCCGGCGCGCGGCGTGCTGGGACTACGGCGCACGGCACCCCGCCGCCGGCCGGGCCGGTGACCGCCCACTCGCCGGGCCAGGATGTGCTGCACAGGCACGCGCTCCACCTGATCGTGCGGATGGTGTGCTACGACGACGGGCTGGGGGCGGGGCGGGGCCTGCTGGCCCTGGAGACCACGGACGCGGCCGACGAGGAGTGCAGCCTGTGGGTCTACCAGTGCCACAGCCTGGTGAGCGGCCGCCCGCGCCACTCGTCTCCCGGGCCGGAGGGTGCTGTCCACGAGGTGGGGCCGCGGGCCGGCCAGCGGCTGCCCAACTTCCTGCGGGCTGTCAGCTGAGGGGTGCGGCAGTTGAGGAAAGAGGGCGCCCTCCCTAGGCAGAGCCCCCTCCTGCTCTGCACGCTGTCTCATCCCTGCCGACACTCGAGGGCCTCTGCGGAGGCGCTGGCCGGGTGCAGGAGCGCGTGGGGGCCGAGGCGGGCATGTGCTTAGGAGGTGTGGGAGCAGCCCTGCCCCTCTGCGGGTCGAGTGGGAAGGCACCGGGTGCCCTCATCAGCTCCCTTCCCTCACTGCAGGAGCAGGCGCAAGCCATCTGCAGAGTCCTGGCCACCGCCTTCGACGCCGTGTTAACTTCTGAGAAACCGTGAACTCTGCCAGACGGTGGCCTCGAGCTCGGGCCAAAGCTCAGCACTTTGCTAAACGTCTTTTTAACCTGCAGGATTGAGTAGTTACGAAACGTTATGTTACCCCATGCTCTAGATTTTCCAAAATAAATGCAATGTATAAACCGCCGACTTGCCTTCTATTAAAATGTCCTATTAGTAGTGAATTGACTCTCCGTGAAGTCACGTGCTTTCTGGGTCTAAAAGGAAACCTCATTGGTGACTTTTAACCCCAAATAAGGTCAGCACTGGCGTGCAAAGATGGGCATGCGTGAGGGAGACGCACTGGGAACTTTCCAGACTGACCTGTGGCAGCTTGTGGGGGCGGGGCCTCGCTGGGGCGGCACCGGGGGGGCAAACCTGGGGGCACCGGGCACTGCCAGTCAAACACAGCCGACCCGTGTCGTCTGCGCGCAGGAGGACGGAGGCCGAGAGAGAACCTGAGCAGGTCACCGCTGCTGCTGCAAGGACAGGAAAGAACCTCTCGTGCGGCGGGTGGGCCGCTGTCCGCTCTAGAGGACGCCGTCACAGCGTGCTGTAACGGCTAAAAACAGGTCGACGCCAGGTCCCTTTGAAAGTACTTTATTTTTGTCCAGTCAAATGACTAACAGGAAGAGTAAGTCCATTAACATGCTCTCGTCATCAATCACTGCGTCAGGACAATGAAAATAAGAACTGATTTAGGTTGTACAGTGCACAGTTGCGCTGCAACTAGACGAAGGAATCCAGGGCCGGCCGAGTGGGTCCGTCTCGGCCCGCGCCAGGCCGCCGCCCTCCCACTGGCCGCACGGCTCCGGGGCCGCCCCGCCGCGTCCGACGACGTGGCCGGGCGCCAGAACCCTGCAGCTGAGGTCGTCAAACATAAACTTCAAATATAAATAGGTATCTACAATGCTTTCCGTTTTCTGTTTTTTAATTTGCAAAGAGCAAATAACTAGGAGAGGATATTAGCAGGGAAGTTAACCCGATTTCTTCTCTGGCAAGAGAAATCTAGATTACTGCACCATAGCACCGCCAGAGTGTAGAGTGGAAAAACAGTTCCTAGATATCTGTGTACCAGTGAACCTGGCAGGTTCGTCTGGGACATTCCAATGATCTGAGCCTGATTTCTATGTAGCTGGCCGCAGGTCGCCACAGGCTGAAGGGGCAGCTTCAGGCGGAGGAGAGTCATGGTAAAATACAGGTAGGAAGGGCGCTGTGCCAAATACCTGTTTGCTCTCTTAAGTCTACGAGAGAATGAACTCAGTGAAGGGCCTGAACAGAAACGAACAATTAGTGAAAACCGATGTAGTGCTTTTGGAAGGGCTTTAATGACAGAACCGGCACGTCGCCCCTGGACCCTCCAAGGCAAAAGCAATCCGCACAGCGCCAGAAAATACTCCAGTTCGCTCTCTTCCTTCATAATAGTAACCCAGAGCTAGAACGCCGAAAAAAACCAAAGAACCCAAAAAACCCGAACCCCCCCACAACTCTACGTTCACAGTCTTGGATGGTACGGACCAGCGGCTTCCTCCCAACGCACCGGCGTGGTACGCAGCCCAAGCGCCCGCCTCGCATCCCCAGCCGACGCCGCGACGTGGCCCTTCGCTGGGGTAAAACCTCGCCTGTTTATCGCCAAAGGTGAGTGTTTCCGGGGCTCCTGCCCCGAGGCAGACGCGGGTGACAGGCGGGGGCGCGACAGCGACCGGAGTGACGGGCCCGACTAGCACGCACGACCTCGCCCGCCCCGCGGTCT